GTGTAAAGGACCACCCTCCTCAGGGCGGGTAGGCTGCATACAATATGAAACCTCCACCAAGGAGGTTTCATATTGTAAGCTAAATAAACCTTTTCTTGTAAGCTAAATAAACCTTTTATTGTAAGCTAAATAAACCTTTTCAGAACAGCATTTAAGATCACTTAAGATCATTTAAGATCAAGGAGGTTTCATATTGTAAGCTAAATAAACCTTTTCTTCCTCAGTTTTGGGTACTGGGTATTTTGTCTCAGCAATGAGAGAAACACAACCAAGACAGTCTCCCTACTGTAAGAAACTGAAAGAGTAAATAAAATCTGAAAGGTACAACAGATATTGTGAAAGGGAAGGAAACTGCTAGGGAAAGGAGAAAAGAAAGAAGGGAAAACATTATATATATATAAACACACACACACACACACACACACACACGATTACTAAGATAACTATACTACTAATTTCTACTGGTTTATTGTAAGAGGAGTTAATGCTTAATTTTTTTGGACCAATTTTACATACTTGGTAATATGAACATCCACTTTCAAGATAACAATATGCAATATAACAACCATTGCTGATTTCATACAATTTGTTTTGAAATTCTGTATCATTTTTAATGTTTTTTTCTTATTTTTTTATTCTCCTTAAAATAAAGAAAAAGATAAAAAGAAAAACACATAGCTGGGTATGGTGGTGCATGCCTACAGTCCTAGCCCTTGGGAGGCTGAGGCAGGTGGATCTCCATGGGTTCAAGGCCAGGCAGGGTTACAGAGTTCAAAGCTACCCTGTCTCAAAAAACCAAAAACCAATAATAATAATAATAATAATAATAATAACAAATAAAAATATAACCCCCCACCCAAAAATTCAACACATGAAAATCAGTAACAATGCTATATGCTAACAGCAAATTTCATGAAATGAAAACAAAAACTGCAATTCTACTTACAACAGCCGCAAAGACAACATAATATCTAGGAAAAATTTTAACTGAAGAGGTAATGTCTGCAATGCAAACTACAAAATAGTGGGAAAAAACTGAAGACAGAAACAAACAGAAAGGCATGCCATTTTTATGGCTTGTAAGGATCAATATTATTCAACTGTCTGTAAATGTCCACAGTGCCAAAGCAGTCTATACATTCAGTGTAATCCCTATCAAAATATCAACCAATCCTAAAATACCTTGAACATCCAAAGCCATCTTGGGCAAAAGCAACAAAACAGGTTTTACTCTACTACCTAACATCAAATATACTATAAAGGTTAGTAATCAAAACAGCATGAGGTTGGCATGAAAAGACCATCAGATCAATGGTACAGAAAAGAGGCCTACACACAAACACATACATCTATAGTTAAATGGCTTTTTTTTAACTAGTGTTAAGAATAAGCATTGGAGAAAGTACAGTTTTTTTAATAAATTGTGCTGGGAAAACAGAATATCCACATGCAGAAAATGAAAACAAGACCCTTACTGCTTACCTGTTAGAAAAATAACTCTAAATTAAACATAAGCAAAAATACACAAATGTGATTACATCAGACTAAAAAGATTTTGAATAGAAAAAGAACAAACAACAGAATGAAGAGAAGATATAAAAAATGGGGGGAAATATTTCCAAGCTATTTATCACTCAAGGAGCTTAATATCCAAAATATATAAGGAATTCTTCAAAATTCAACAGCAAAAAAAAAAAAAAAATCCAACATAATTAAAACAGGCAAATCTCTAAGACATTTCTCAAAAGACAATGAAATGACCAACTGACAGATGAAAAAAAAGCTCAGCATTGCTAATCATCAGGAAAATGTAAATCAAAAACACAAGGTATTGCCTCACCTGGATAAAAAGAGCTATTACCATAAATAAAACCTAAAGAATAGTAAGTCCTGGCAATGATGTGTAGAAAGAGAACTCTTGCACACTGTTGATAGGAATGTAAATGAGTATAGCCATTATGGAAAATACTATAGAGGTTACATAAAAAATTAAAAAAGAGTTACCTTACTGGATATAAATTCAAAAGAGATTAACTGATATTAAGTATGCCAGGATATGTGTAAATAATATCCAAACAAAGATGAGCTAGAAATGAGGAAAAAAAATTGAAAACTAAGGCCTGTAACTGTTGAAATTTGGTGAAAAACAATCTACAAGAAACTTAACAAAGCCTTAGTTGGATATACACATGGAAACGTAACAGGCAAACTGCTGAAGGTCATACGTATTTTTCTTTATTTAATTTAGTTTAAAGAGATAAGATTGCATATCTTGATAATGGTAATACTGTACTATTGGATAAGGAACAAATATGGATAAAATATATGCAATAATAAAAAAAGGAAAAACAAAACAACAGCTATGTTGGGAAAAATTACATACCTTTGGAAAGTATGTCATGTTTATGAAATAGTTTCTAATAAATTATGATTCATCTTGTATCCTAAGCCCAACCATGAAGAAAATAATTTTCAATAGGATGAAAACATAAGACCTAAATATATGTTATTTAAAGAGATATACTGGCCAGGGATATAGCTCAGTTGCACAGTGCCTGCCTGGCAAGCGTGAGGTTCTGAGTTCAATCCCTGGTACCAAAAAAAAAAAAAGAGATATACTTGTTGCTGTTGGTGTTTTCTGCTACCATGTACGACTGCCACTCTGCCATGAGCCACTCTGCTTTAAGCCAGCAGGTTATGGACTGAAACCTGTACAAACTGTGGGCTAAAGAAACCTTTCTTCCTTTAACTTCTGGTGTTGGGTATTTTTTGTAAACAATGAGAAAAAAGTAACTAAGACATTCCTTAAGGAAAAAAAAAAAAAAAAAAAAAATCAAATTTATTAGCTCTAGCCAGACTGACCAGAGACACTGTAGGAGGGAAAAGGGAATAAAGAGTGGAAAGAAAAGTTGGGAAGGCAAGGGAGAGGAGAAGCAGAAGGTTGGAGAGAACCAATACTATGAACAACTATATGCTGATAGCTGAATATAATTCAGTAAGTTACGCAACTATACTAACTTCTTCTAACACATAACTATCAAAGGTTATTTAGAGAAAGATAACAAGAACAGCCCTCTACCCAAGTAATTTAATTTGTAGTTAGAAAACATTCCTCCAAAGAAAACTCCAAGCTCCAGTGATGGCACCTGAAGAAATAACACCAGTTTACTAACTGTTCCAGAAAATTAGAGAATATACTACAAGATACAAGGCCAGGATTATCCAGGTACCTAAGTAATCACAGATTCATTATCATAAAGTTAAGAGATATATATCTGTCTTGAAGATAAATGAAAAAATTTACAAGACAACTTAAGCAAATCACATCTAATAATATATATTTAAAAATATGTCATGACTATGTATGGTTTGACATGTGAATAACATTTGAAAAATCAACCAACTTATTTCATCACATTCACAGTGTTAGAAAATTACAACATGATCAACAGAAGCAGAAAAGTTATGTACAAAAGTCCAACATACATACCAAATATAACCTTAAAAAAGAGAAAACTTATTCAATATAAACACATGGAATCTATGAAAAACTTATAACCAACCACATACTTAAAGGTGAAAGACACCAATTTTGGTTAACAAAAGCAGCAAGACCAAAACAATAACAAAATAGAGAGTATACACTATATAACTCTATTTTTGTTAACACAAAATATACATAAATCATATAGCTGGTCCATGATGGCTTGAGGATGTTAGAAGAGGACAGTGACAGACAAGAAAGTAGGAAGTAATTACAGAGTGCTATGGAAAACCTTTTAAGGAGGATAGACATTCATTATCTTTTTTGTGCTTTCACAGGTAGTTTTCAAGTCTACAGCCATACCATCATGAACACCCTGATCTCATCAGATATATTTTTAAACTCATCAATATATGCACTTAAATGTGTACTTTGTTTTACATCACTTATATGTTCATGAAGGTGTAAAAAAGAAAAAAAGACTACATGTGAAGTATATCTAAGTTCTTGTCTTTTTTTCAAATAAATACATCAATGAAGGATTATATGTGTAGTTGATGCAAGGAAGATGTACAACTCCAACCACACAATTTATAATTAGAGTAACAGGCTTGGCTCTATTTCAAATGATTTTTTTTTGTGTGTGTGTGGTGCCATGAATTGAACTGAGGACCCTGTGCTTGCCAGGCAGGCACTTATAACACTGAGCTATATCCCCAGCCCTCAAAAGATCTTCTTATACTTTGAGTCAATATTTTTAAGTCTGTTAAAATATCAATGTTTTATACACATACCCACACAAATAATTTGCCTGTTTAAACAACTGATATGGATATTATATACAATTATCAGAAGTGTATGTTTATGATTCTGTGCTTTATGAAATATGCTTGTATAATTAGTATTTTTAAAGTTTTCAGAGTCCACAGAAAGAAAACTGAACTCATTTGCTTTGGAATCTCTCTCTCTCTCTCTCTCTTTCTCTCTCTCTCTCTGTCTCTCTCTCTCTCACACACACACACATACACACACACACACACCTCTGCTAACAGCCTCTGCTTGTTAACTTGTGTATACCTGGAGGTTTGAGTAGAGATATAGTTTTCATTTATCTGCAAGGATTATCCTTTTTTGCCCTCTTTCTACCTACCTTTAACAAGACAGTATCATAGGGCAAGAAGTAGAGCATTTAATTTTTTCAAATGTGAAAATCAGCACTCTCTATTAATGACACATTAATCTAAAAACCACAGTACTATTCTAGCAGTTCAACTCCAACTATATAGGTTGCCGCCAACATTACATATTCTGAGTTTGGAAGAGTGTGGCAGCAGTGCTAGCTGTATCATTTATTCTATACAGCATTTACTTAGCATTTACTGCAAAAACTGCTTTCCAGAAAATAGAACAAAATAAAAATAACAATTAGTAGAGACTTTTATAATTAGCCTGAGCTACAAACAAAGAATAATTTAAGATTAAAAGCATTCTAAATGATTTTTTAAAAATCACTTACCGGTATCTATGAACAAATATACCCTTAAAAATAGAGTTCATCATATTTTCAATTTCATCTTGATTTTCTTGTAGCTGAAACGAAAAAAACAATAAAAATGCAAACTGAAATACTAGTTATTTTATTTGGATGAATGAACAGTTTTCCAATTGTTTTTAGCTTCTGGTTATTCTCATTTTTGAGAATATCAAAATTTGTTATCAATCCTCAGTTTGCAAAGCTGTTTGAAATTACCAAAATATTTCCATTACTTCTTCACCTCTAATCCACTCATTTTGGAATATCTCACTCTGCCTTTTAGACACACACTCTACAATGACTGACAAAGCAGAGCAGTATAAATGTGGCAATATCGTCGAAGTTTCTTTTGGGAAAAGAAGGAATTTTGTATTGCTGCATATACATATTACAGCAAAAGTAAGTATGTCGCTGTATATTACTACAGAAAATTCCAGGACAAACTAGAATAACTACCACATTGAGTACCAATATCAATGTTTTATACACATACCCACACAAATAATTTGCTTTGGAAAATTACTACAGAAAATTTGCTTTGGAAAATTACTACAGAAAATTCCAGGACAAATTTTGTATGAGTGCTTTTTTTGAGTAGAAAATAAATTCAAACTTTTAACTCTGAACAGTAAAGTTCCCAGAAATTTACATATTTGCTGAAATATTTTATTTTCTTCCTGCATTCCACCATTTAGGGGCTTGGACCCTTTTTGTTTTTTGTAAAGCCTTGTAATTTGGGGAATGTGACCTACTTCTTCATAGAGGTTACTGAGATTCAGAGTAATATTTGCATATTATAGATGCAATAGGAAATTTCTGATATATTCACAGGTATGTCAATCAAGAATGATAGCTTAACCACAAAAGAAAAAATCATCCTAAGGAACTTAGGAGAAACTTGTGGAGAAAAGTGGTTTAGAAAATTCCTTCAGACATTCTTTTGTAATGTGCTATTTCAGGTTTTACTGAAATTTTAGAATAGGGATGTTCATCAACTTATGATGTGACTATGTCCTGATAAACCCACTGTAAGTTGAAAACACTGTCGGTCCAAAGTGCATTTAATATATACCTAACCTACCAGATATCATCCCTTGGCCTATCCTACCTTAAATTATACTCAGGATAAATATATGTTTAAAATTGGGCAATCATCTAACACAAAGCCTAACAGAGCACTGAACTCCTTATGAAAGAAATGTGTTTTGCAGACATGATATGATGGAAAACAAAACAAAATATGGAGGGAAAATGCTGGCAATACTGCTGCTGCCCAGAATCAAGCATCAAGAGTGTGTGAGTAGGGTACCAAAAACTCACTAGCCTGGGAAAAGATCAAAATTTAAATTTTAAAGCACTATTTGTACTAAATGTTTAACATGTGCAAATTTGAAAAATTTTAAATCAAACGATCATCTCAGGGACCATATGTACTTTTATGGTAAATCATTCAAATTGTTGCAACTTAAAGTTTCAAAAATTACTTTTTGTGCATTATCATAAAAAACTAATTTCTAAGAAGCATATATTCAGTCAACAGAACTTAATAAAGTCTAGTGCCAATACTTCCTTCCACAGTATGGTATATATCAAGGAGTGCAAAGATGTTTTCAAAACTTTGTATGTTGAACCTTTAACTGCCAAGACCTCAAAATGTGACTTTAGTGGAAAACAGGGTAGTGGCAGATATCACTTATAAAAGTGGAGCCATGGTTTACCCCTAATTCAGTATGACTGGTGTAATAAAAAGAACAAATCTGGATAAGTAAAATTCTTGAAGACATAGTCATTAGCTAGGATTTTCTGAAAAGAATCCCAACTGCACAAGAAATTATATTAAGAATCAACCAGTGGGATTATACCAAATTTAAAAGCTTCTACACAGCAAAGGAAACAACCTAAAAAATAGGAAAAATTTTTTGCCAGCAACTCCTCAGATAATTAATATTTGGAATATATTAAAAATATAGGACTCCCTAAGATAAAAGTCCCAATCAAAAATGGGGAACTGAGAGGAAGAGATACTTTTCAAAGCACCCCTCACAAAGAAGTACAAGTGGCCAATAAGCACATAAAAACAATGTTCAGCATCTTTGGCTTTTAGGGAAATGCAAATCAAAACACACGAGATTCCACTTGACTCTAATAGGAATGACTACTGCAAAACCTCAAAACACAACAAATGTTGGTGAAGCTGTAGTGAAAAAGGAAGTTTTACACATCATTGCTGGGAATGTAAACTAGAACAACTATTTCTACTAGTATGGTGATTCAAAAAACTAAAAATAGAAATTCCATTTGATCCAGCTATACCCCTTTTCAGCATCATTCCAAAAACTCAGAAACATCAATATTATAATGATATATGCATATACCTCTGTTATTCAACACAATTATTAATAGCTAATTTACGGAAGCAGCCTATATGTCCTGCAAGAAATGAATGCATAAATGTGGTACATATAACAAGACAGTATTAGGCATAAAAAATAAGTTGAGTCATTTGTTTAAAAAAAAAAAAAAAAAGATGAATCTTGAGACCATAACACTAGGAGAAATTGATCACAAACAGATGATTAAATATTGTATGGTTTCTCTTAAACAGGCAACTCAAAACATAAATAATTTTAGAGCAAAATAAATGAGATGACAAAAAAACAGGATGTAGTCTTTGTGGAGATGAGATGGGGAAAGCTGGAGGGGAGTGAGATGGGTAGAGAGTTGAAGTGGAATCAAAAATGACTAAGACGCCACATGCATACGTACAGTTGTCCAAGATAAATGTAATTATTATGTATCACAAACATATATCCATTAAAAAAAGAGATGAGTCTATCTTTTTCATACCACACAGGAAGAACAAGCTGTCAAGTCTGTATTTATACTGGCACAAGCCAAGGAACCAGAAGCAAGGAGAGAATGCTAGAACGGACTGTATCTAGCACCTTTAGAGGGAGTATGACCCTGCCAACACCTTGACTTCATACTGCTAGTCTCTAAAACTGTGAAACAATAAATTTCTTTAGTTTCAGGAACTCATTTTGCTACAGAAGCATTATAAAACTTACAGTATACAGGTGACAGGTTTCTGTCACATGTTATAAGGCACTGTTCCTATAT